ATTTGCGACGTATGATTATTAAATTGTGAATACGTTGTAGAGTGAACGTCAGTTTTCGGCCTTGAATTTGCAGATTTGTAATTTACAAAAGTGTCCCAAATGTTTTAGTGGAACTGTCTAGTTAAAATAAACAGTACCAGTTAAGATAAAGAGTAGAGTTTTCCGTTCGTGAAACTTCTCCCATTAATTAAGCCGATTCTTTCGTCGACTATCTCCATTGAAACAGTTTCATACACCGTTCAACAAGTTCATGCCGCGTAAAAGGAACATGACTTTCGCTTCTCCGTGCTTCGTGCAGAGTAAGAGAATTTCTTGCTAACTATTGGATTCAAATACGAAATTCTATAATTAGAAATGGATTACGATTACTTCATGCATGTTTTAAATAATCTGTTATTTAATTGTATATGTATGTATATCTGAATACCTTATCCCCCAAATATGTATGATCATTCAAGTTTCAATGTTTCTTCTTGTTATCACCTATGAACGTTTTACCTTTACCCCCATTAAACCTTACATTATAATAATCTTGTTCAAGTATACCATAAATTCCATTATTGAATCACATTTAACATGTGCGCATATATCACTATAATTATACAATAGTAATGCAATAAATAATGAACGTCGTACGTGTCCGGTAATGTTACACGTAAGAAACGACGTTCTAACTTTCAGAAGAACTACGTTACTTTATCTTCAGATTTATCATTTCCATAAATCGTTTTTTCCGTTATCTTTCGTTCGTTTTTCTTAGAAAAAAAGAGAAAAAGATTACATCTTAAACATTAAAAATCGAATGTGTCTTTATAGTTCACCGTTAGCCTAATACTGTTCGAATAGAGCTATCTTATAGATCCATCAACATAATATAACCAGTATCTCGGTTAATATAAATAAGTGTTTAGAAAAGTTTTGAACGGTTCGAATTATCTTTAGAAATCCCTCCCCTGAAGTATCTCTATTTGGTCGATACATTGTTTGGTCATCCTATTGGAATATCGTGGAGTCATTAGATTAGAAGATAGTTATCGTTAATTGCGAGCCCCGTTCCTGTCCATCTCTACAGGGTGTTTTATTTACATCTGGCAAAGGATAATTCCTTAGGCAATTTGAAATAACTTTTTTTTTTTCAAGCGACAATTTTCTCCGTGGCTTCGTCAACGACTTTCATTAATGAAAAAAAAAGAGAACACGGGCCGCACTTGCTCCCCGATTGGTTCGTGTTTTTCGTTAACAACTCGTTAATGAAAACGCGGAGAAAATTTTCGGTAAGGAAAACGTTACCTTCGATCATCACGGAGAGCATTTCTTGCCAGCTGGTGGAACGGGAGTTTTTAGAGACCCTGTATGTGGCACAGTAGCGTGCGAGATCCCGAAAATATCGGGAACCGGTTGATGGGAACTCGATTATGTCGAAATTTTCAAAAGAATCGGCGTTCTCGAAAAGTACGGGGACCTATTCGATTTATTGACGAAGAATTATCTTTGGAAAGTGAAGTGAAAATGACACGTCAAATATATGTAAAAGTGGAGATTATATTAATATAATTATAATTATAACATATATAATTATAATTATTTATAATAATATATATAATATTCTTTTGAGTCTCCGAATACAGTAAATTCTTTCTAATTGACGCTCAGATTGTAATTTCTCCCTAATCCCCGCTCGAATTGTGCACAAAAATGGACAATTTGGGAAGAGGAGATACGATTGTTCGAGCATCGTGGCTCGTTTTTATAGTTACAGATTGTCAACAACTATAAAAGATGCAATATAAATAATACGATAAAGAGAGGCAAGACTTCGATAATCGTGTCTCTTCTTCCCAAATTGTCAATTTTTGTACGCAATCCGAGCGCGAATCGGGGAGAAATTACTCTATTTATTATATCGGATTATTAGGAATCGATAGAAATTTCTAACGTAGCTTCCGCTACACGAAATCGGTGCATTTTCAGCATCGCTTAAAGATTCGCAGTCTAGTTACAACAAACGGCCTGTCGCCCTCGATCGAATCGTGACCAAACGAGCAAAAATCGCGTCTCAAGTTGGCTTCAACTTTTTCGAACGTACGGTCAAATATATCCCTTTATGCCAATAGTAAACAACAAGTCGATAATAGGGCCAACCGATTCAGAGCGCCGAAGACTAATACGGACACCTAATTGTATATAGTACAAGAATAAATTGCGAATTTGCATTGCTTTTGTTACAACACGGTTGACGAAAGAATAGACTTGGGAGATACCCGCTGTTATGGTGCACAGTAATTTCTCCCCAATTCGCGCTCGGATCGCGCACAATTGTGGACAATTTGGGGAGAGGAGACACGATTATTCGAGCATCGCGGCTCGTTTTTATAGTTGTCGACAATCGGTGACTATAAAAACGAGTCGCGAGGCTCGAAGAATCGTATCTCCTCTCCCCAAATTGTACATTTTTATGCGCAATCCGTGCGCGAATTAGGAAGGAATTACTGTACACAAAAATGGATAATCTGGGAAGAGGAGATACGTTTTTATAATTATTGACAATCGACAACTATAAAAACGAGCCGCAAGGCTCGAGTAACCGTATCTCCTCTCCCCAAATTGTCCATTTCAGTGCGCAACCTGAGCTTCAATTAGATAGAATTTACTGTAATTGGGGAAGCCGACGCTTTCGAAATGCCGAAATTTCGAGAATCGCGATATTATCAAAAATTCCGAATATTCTCGGACCCCGAGGCGATCCGACATTTTCGAGCTGTCGCACACTTCTAGGGCCTGGGGCCTAGGCACAGAGTACAGCAGCAGGAGAAATGAATGGTGACGAAAGTTCTGCTCCCTGTCGCGGAACGAATTCGTCGGGCATATAATAACTGTACACAACAATTGGTGCCTCCCGCGAGGAGGCAACTGTATCCGCCGCTTGTATAAATAAATAGTGCTCAACAAGAAATAAATACATTCTCACCGATACGACGTGCACGGCTCCTTCTGTACAACAGCGTCGACCCCGCATCATTCGTTACGTTATTTCGTTATTCCGTTTGCTACGCTGAATAAAGCCGGTTGTACTTGCACGTACGCGACACATACGTACCCGTACGATTTTTTTACACGAATGCGATCGTAATAATAAAATTCCATCCCATATATTAACGCATAAAATAATCAATAATAAAATCCCATTGGAGGAGATAACATGGACGAAATAAAAGAAGTTCGCCAGGCGAGACACATTGAGCATTCGCCGCTTGGAACGTATTCGCAAATTATTGTTGCCTTTCACTGTGAATACTTTCCCGACGTGATATTAAGTACTATGTTCTTCTTTTCAACGATGACGTTGCGCTACGATTTCATTATTCTAATAGTTCACAGTTCGAACACTAGAAACAGACTTATTGCTAGCGTTACTTTCGAGCGTCTATCTTTCTCTAGAATCATTGCAAATCACGTTCATTGAAGCACAGAACGATTGCTGTTGCATCCATCGAGTCAAAGGTACGGTTTCGATAATAACTGTTCGCTATGCCCATAGTCCGTCGATCACTGTTGCCAGCGACCATTGGTGCTAAAAGATGAGAGGATAGGAGCGACGAAGGGGGAAACGTGTTGCGCAATAGTGACCATTGTCGCTGATGATTGAAGCACAATACCTTTCAACTGTAGGTGTTGCCATTAGGACAGAGATTCTAGCATTTTTCAAATTTCGTCGTTGACTACGATGCAGACTTTTAATAGCAATATGATACGCTAAATGACTTCGCCACTTAGCTCCATAATGGCGTATTCTTATCTTGTCCAGCTTCGATATTAATGGTGAGTTGACGAGTGCCGCTGCCACTTTGGCGGGAACTATTCTATCTCTGCTGAATGAAGACATATAGTGAGAGCAAAGTATTGGGGAAATATTGAAGGTACTGATGGAAGCGAAGTGGCGGGATTTATGACGATAGGGTAAAAGTGGAAGAGCGCGAAGAAACATGAGAGGAAAACTGAATTGGGCAAGCTAGGAAATAGACGGTGAGAAGTACAGTAATTTCTCCCTAATTCGCGCACAAAAATGGACAATTTGGGGAGAGTTGTTGGCAATCGGTTATTATAAAATCGAGGTTATCATCGAGATTATAAGCAAGACTCGTACAATCTAATCTCCTCTCTCCAAATTTGCTCACTTTTATGCGCAATCCGAGCGCGAATTAGGGAGAAATTATTGTACTTGCTCTATTGAGAAGATTACTATCAGATGAAACAGAGTGAAATTCGATCGTATAAATATTGCGAAACTATGTGGAAGCTATGTGGAAGAAAAGTCGCCCAGAATATTTTCGCGTTGCCAGGATTGTTCTTCGCGAGAAGAAACTGAAAAGAAGCACCTTGATCTCGCAGACGCGAACCGCGTTTCTGTATCTCAACAATCGTTTTGAAAACGAGATAAAACCCGAACATATTCCAAGAGCCGAACGCCCGGTGTCTCGCGCGAAATATAGCCAACGTGGTCGCTAAACACGCGTATGTATAAAGACGATATAAGAAACAGCACAGGATTGCGATCGCTCCCCGCTACGCGAACGTCAACCAGCAACACGGCGAAACGTAAAAAACCGATCCGCAAAGCTAGACCGAACCAAGGACAACAAAGGGAAGATAAGCCCCCGGACGATTCCGTTTGTACAAAGACCTGGGATGCGTGAACGTTTTCCCAAAAAACTGACACGGCGACACGAGCGAAGGTGTTGGAGCCATCAGCGTCTAGGCGCAGCATCGTGAAAATGGTAAACAACGGTCCCGGCCTGAGACGGTTTGCTGTTGGATCGAACGACCGGCGGCGTTTTCGAATGCCGTTCGACTCGGTCGTCCAAGCGAGCGGCATTTCGTTCCCTGAAATCAGGCTAGCTTCCCAGAGACAAGTAGAAGACAGTTCACGGCCTTGTTGTGGTCAGCAAGCGAAGAGCGAGCTCGTTAGGTCAACAGTTGCGATTGCTAGTGCCATTATTCACCTGTGTGCCGGCTCCTGCCTCGTAATCGGTCGCCCGGTGATTCTCCTCCGTTAGGCAATTTCTCCGTTCCTTGAACAGGTTCGCCACGCAGTTCGCCTACGAACAGTTTCGAAATCATTCACCTCGGGTCTCTGCAATTGCTTTCGGAAGACGTCGATAAGGATCGGTTTATCTGTTCCTTCGATCCGAATAGGACTCTGGGCCGCGTACGCGATCAAAAGTAGATTATGTCCAAAAATTATGGTATTTCCGGGAAATGAGGGGTTCCTGAGGCTACTCGAAGTAACTTTTTCCTCAACAAAAATGCTGGGCTTCGAATTGGGTTTCGTGCGCTCATTGCAGTGGCTCGCCTCTCATTGGTCAGTGTTTTTCGTTAATAATTCATTAACGATGCCTCGGAGAACATTTTTGTAAAGGAGAAAGTTACTTCGAATAACCTCAGGAATCTCTAATTTGCCGGAAGTACCATAATTTTTAGGACACCCTGTAGATCGCGGATTAGAGTGGTCCTTATTTATCGACCTTTGAAAATGGGAAACGGTGCCGCGGTTTTGCATCGAAGTTGAAACATTTGTAAGAACATACAGTGGCCCACGAAAGTGTTCGTACACCTATTAAAACGCAATACATCTTTCAAAACTGAACTATAAATGATTTTAATTTTTTTAGATCATAGAGGGACTAGTCTATTAGGCGATGGCTAAAAAGCTCTTTTTTTTAAATTCTGCTATTACTTGGAATGAAAAGAAATAATTAAAAACCCTTGTTTTTTTAACTTTTTCTACTGTTTATTGGTACTTTTTAGTATTGAATACTAGATTTTACGCAGTCAAAAAGCTCTAGTTAAATGTTCATTTATTTATTGGCGTAACTCGAACAATTTTTGTTTCTGTGAGACNTGCCTCGGAGAACATTTTTGTAAAGGAGAAAGTTACTTCGAATAACCTCAGGAATCTCTAATTTGCCGGAAGTACCATAATTTTTAGGACACCCTGTAGATCGCGGATTAGAGTGGTCCTTATTTATCGACCTTTGAAAATGGGAAACGGTGCCGCGGTTTTGCATCGAAGTTGAAACATTTGTAAGAACATACAGTGGCCCACGAAAGTGTTCGTACACCTATTAAAACGCAATACATCTTTCAAAACTGAACTATAAATGATTTTAATTTTTTTAGATCATAGAGGGACTAGTCTATTAGGCGATGGCTAAAAAGCTCTTTTTTTTAAATTCTGCTATTACTTGGAATGAAAAGAAATAATTAAAAACCCTTGTTTTTTTAACTTTTTCTACTGTTTATTGGTACTTTTTAGTATTGAATACTAGATTTTACGCAGTCAAAAAGCTCTAGTTAAATGTTCATTTATTTATTGGCGTAACTCGAACAATTTTTGTTTCTGTGAGACTATTTGAAAGTACTTAAATTTTGTTAAAGGTTCTCTGATTCTTGCGATAACTGTTAAAACCTAATTTTTCCAAATACTTGATTCTATAAGGTTATGTAGACGGAAGACACGAATTTTGACAAATATCCTATTTAAGCGAATATTCGTTCAACATTAGAAAAAAGAATCAGAATCATTTGTTTTAAGATTTCTCCCATAATTGCAATATAAAAAACAGGATTCAATAATGTAAATTGATCAATGTAATCGATAATGTAAGACGATCATTGAGACAGCATGTTAACGTTACGTTGAGCCTTAATAGGTTATAAATTTTATTCCAAAAATTGTATTATAAATTTTTTTCCAATGTCGAACTTTTTTAAACGAGCGTTCATTTATGTAGGTATTTGTTTGTCATGTGAACCAGGCAGGTTTTAGTTAACAAAGCCAGAGTTTAGATGTTCATCGAAATTCGCGTCTTCTTTATGAATAAATTAATTCATAGAACTAGCTTCAATTATTCAAATTTATACAAATGCCAATTCGATTAGCTTACCAAGGCTCCACGTTGCGTTAACACATTGTTTCCCTAATCACTTATCTGCGATGAATTCATATTCATATCGTGATTATGAAAGATCTCTCCAAAACAAAGAATTACTCAATATTTTTATCTTCACCTTTTCTTCTTCATTATTAGCTATTTTGAAATTTTGCAGAAAACTTTGCCTCGAATCATTGAATATTTTTTACGTATTGTTCACATTGTAGTGAATTTTCATTCATATACGTTGTCTCACATTACAATGCAATTTCTATATTCGGGTAAAATAATATACACTGAGTAACGATAAAAATCGTGATCCTTGTAAAAATTTGTTTACCCATTGATTATTCAATCAATCAGCCTAATAAATTGAAACAAAATTTAAGTCACTGCATCCAATTTGAAAAAAATTATTACGTTCCAAAAGGAGTCCGAATATTATCGTTACTCACTATACATGATTTTATTTATGTTTTTTACGCAGCAATAAATTACTTGATTGACATTCATTTGCTATTTCTCACAGAAAGATCATGTCAAGCATTTCGTTGGTAGCATAACTGCATATATAATACTTTCTAATACGGTGTCGCCATTGATGTAATAAATTATTGCGCCTATAAAAATCGCATTATATCATTGGTTGGGACACAATGGGTTAATTAATTTGAAATCAATTTCGTATTATTCTATTATTAACGTGCGTGTTTTGTTGACATCGTAAACCTTAGCCAGCCAGGAGATCGTAAAGATTCAAATTGGGTGGCTAGGCTATTTCATATTTATGATCGTGCTGTAATTTATGATCATACAATGGCATAGTTAAGGAGAATAATACTCACCATGACTAGTGCCATGACAGTACCAAGGGTCGAGCCGGCCAGGACGTCGCTCCAATGATGTTTGTAATCAGAAACTCGTGAAAGTGCCGTGTACCAGGCCATCAAGATGCACAACAACTGAAGGAAATGCTTCAGCAATTTGCTGCCCTTCCACGTAATTCTCAACTGCAAGTACAACTGAAAGAAAGAAGAACGAAGACATTCTATATACATGGTGTCGCAAAAGAAAACAAATTCAAAAAACTCAAAACTGATATGTTAGGTTCTCAAAACAAATGATATGTGGTCACTGATTTTCGACTTGCTATAGGCTATTTCTATTTTGAAAATGTTATGTGGTCATTATTTCTCGGCTTCCTATAGGCTATTTCTATTTTTTAATAGGCTCAAAAACAAATGATTCGTGTCATTATTTCTCGGCTTTCTCCTCAATTGTGACACTCGGTAAGGAATTCATGTGCGTAAAATTTGGACAATTATATGTATAAAATTTGCAATTATATGTTGAACGGTGTTACGAAAAGGACAAATCAATTTTTATTTCATTTCTATTTTTTGCGGTTAGTGCAGCAAATTTTCAATTTGCATAAATATTCGTAGTATAACGATATAATTCAATTATTAACACTAGATTTATGACACCCGTCAAAATGTCGGGTCACTAATTTTTTAATTTACGATTATTCATATCGTGTAAAGACACACATTTATGAGTTATTCAATTTATTGAGTATTTTAATAATTCATTTATATTTAAATAATACATTATTCAATTTATACGTTACTTACGGCAAATGTTACAATGACACTTGTTAAAAATCAGAATAAATGTCTTATTGTTACTTTTATAAACTAATATAAAACAGCTGTTTTCTGTGCTCCGTAAATCTAGTGTTAAGGAAACAATTGTGGGATCAAGGGAAAGAAAACTTATTATATTTTAAACACAAACCTAACTTATTGATTTAAAAGTTCAAAGCAGAAGAGAAAAAACACATTTGCAAATGTTAAAGAGGAGAACCAATTAATATGAAAGCGAGAAATTCCGGTTATATTTTTTACACATTGTATTTACAGCTCGATGCTATTCAGCTGACGAATGCATACGAATGACCCGCAAAATGATCGAACTTCGACTGATGCCGAAGGAGATGACGAAGTCCGGTTCCTTTTCGATAGCACCTCACGCTATAGCTTCGATCTTTCTCCGTGAAATTATCATCTCTTGGTCCACGTAAAGAATCCATATAAGGAGCCGACGATTCCCCACATCAACCGACAACTGAAGGAAGCGGTGCAAACGTAGCTTGCCTCTCGCTGCGAAACAATTTTTTTTCCGAGGATGAAAAGGAACTTGTTCGACGGTGGACCGACCAGGGTTTCATAAAGTAGTCAAGCAAGGGGGGCTAAGTTATAAAAGACGACGTTATTCCAATTACTCTATTGTTATTGCAATCAACTTTATAACTATGTTGCGGATAACCCTCGTATATACTGCGCAGCTGGTAGATCAATGCAACATTGCAAATACAATGTATAGTTCCAATACTTATTGTACAATATTTAGAGTAGGCCACGAAAGTGTTCGTATGCCTTCTAAAACGCAATAATTTTTTTTAAGAGAGAGGCATTTTTCAAATTTCCGTTATAGGCTCAGATAAAAAAATTAAAAAGTGAGAGTTTATTTTCTTTATCATTCCAAGTAATAGCAAAATTTTAAAAAAGCATTTTGGTCATCGTCTGGTAGACTAGTCCCGCTATCGTTTAAAAAAAATTCAAGTCACTCAGTCCAGCTTTGAAAAAGTTATTGCGTTTTAAAAGATGTACGAGCACTTTTGTGGGCCACTGTATGTGTAAAATTATTTATACGGAAGAATTTTGCTCGAGAATGGAACGAGGATGTTAAAATATTCTAATTTTACCGCAGCCGCGGCATGGGTTCTCGTTGTCCGATATTGCATCCAAATTTTACGCACCTCATTTTCTTACAGAGTGTCACAATTTCGGGGATTAAGCCCGAAAAGAATAGAAAATCGAAAGATAACGACCACATATATGGACCGTTTATTTTGAAAGTGGTGCAAGTCCACTTTCTTTCGTTTCGAGAAAATTGAATGTTAGCAGATCTGCCAATTAAAAAATATAGGTTAATTATGTAAAGTCTGGGAATGTTTGTACTAATTTATCAATATGTAATTTGATTACATAAATTTCTTTTAGGCGAATTTAACTAAAATAATATACAATTTCCAGGCTGCAAATGGACTTACACCACTTTCATAATTAGTCAATTGTAAATATCATTTAATTTCAATTTTGAAATAACAAATATCACTTTCTTTTTTTGCTGGAATGAATTTTCCTTTTTTTGTAAAGTACTCTTGTCCGGCATTTCGCTTAATTTTGTTTATTCGTTGCGTATATTTTCCTTTATTTTCTTTTACAGAATCCAAGTTCTCAGTAACAATATCCTCATCTGATGAAAATTCTATCTCTATAATTCTTCTTCTCTTTTTACGCTTCATTAATTTATTTTTCATAGTAGAATTATCTTCATCCTCCGATTCTAAGATTATTCTTTTGTTTATATTCATGGGTCTTATTTCCGTGTAAATTTATTTAAAATAAAATAAAATAACTATTTTCAATTGTCATATTATAATATTGTCATAAAATAACATTGATTTACTATTTCTTCTTACCTATATCACTATCTGATGTGAATATGGAATTATCCATTGTTGGAGGAAAATAAAATAAGTAACCTAAAATAGTAACTTTTGGCACGAAAATAAAACAATATAAATAGCAAATAAAGCAATTGTGAAGCCATCGGTGGCCACTAACCCCGCCACCTGTCTATGGAAATTGGATTTACACCACTTTCATAATCAATGGTTACGTAATTTCTTTTACCGGTCAATTTTAAATTGAACAAAGCATTTTTTAAGATATTTTTTAAGATATTAACTACTAACTAGTTATAAACAAAAAGTTTACACTAAATAAAGCATAAATTACGTCATATCTCATTTTTTTTAAAAAAGGACTTACACCACTTTCAAAATAAACGGTCGATATCATTCATATTAGTAATATTTCCTTGTTTCCTTTTTTATTTTTCCGAGCCTATCGAATTTGTTATCACGATTTATTCTGATAAACACGTAAAGCCTGTATTCTACGGCCGAATTAATGCATAAACTGAATTTCTATGAAATTCTACCATGTGGCGTTTTTTTTTCTTGCAGCCGCAGATAAGCATACTATGCCTTTGCGACTTCTCCTCGCCAGAAATAAAGTCGAAGTTCAAGATGCAACGTTTTTACAACGTGGAAAAAGTACACGTTTGAATCGCAGAATCACTGGGATCGCTGCATCGCCGCAAACGGAGACAACTTCGAAGGTGGTGGAAGACAAATTTAAGTTGGCTGATTAACGAGATTTTTATAAATCCGGTCTGGTTTCTTTCCACAGTGTCCAAACACTGGTCCAGAAGCCTCCGTTTCATTTTTGCAAACAAAAATGTCTTCTTTCTGATTATAGACTTTTCGTCACCCGGTATTCCTTCTAATTTTGTTGTACTTCCACCACTTTCGAGCTCTTCGATTATATCGTAATTTTGTTTCAATACACAGAACTAAACGAACAATTTATATGCATTTATAAATCTATTCAAACCACGTTATTTAACATTCTGTAATTGTAGATTATACAAATTACCTATAGTAATTTTGTAAAATATGTTATCGCTAATGAATTCATAGTTAATGCGATCATATTACAATCAACTACAAATAAATAAATTTGGCATAATTTCATGGCATAGTTCAAGCATGCAATTTCCAATACGTCGATCAAAACCCGTTGCAATTACTAACTTGAACGTGACGTTTAACAAAGCATAATCAATTCTAGAATGTTAAAATAATGTAAAAGATGCAGCATTTTAAATTGATCGATTGCCACACTTTTTGTGTGTTCATTTAATCGGCTATTCTGTACCTCGAAGGAAATAACAAAAAAATGTATGCAATGTACCTATACATATAGATCCTCTACGATACGTCGATATACATATAAATGTGTATGTATTTTCTGTTAGATTTTTAAATACTGCGCCCTACTGTGAACATAATGTTAGAGAATGGGTTAATCTTATTCTTGCGCATATGTAATAGTAATTTCATAAATTTTCGAAAGCAGTTCACAGCATGCCGCGAACACAATTTATCTTCTACTATTTCTAATGATCGTTTTACTGATAAATGACTATCCGAAGAAGCAAATGTCAAAATACTTTAACCAGCTTATGAACTGCAATATTTCAAAGTCCACGCGCATATTTTATAACTTCCTCCTTCTCTCTTTTTGAACAAACACCATTTATAGATTATTTTGTTGTCAGCAAGATCAAAAATTCCCAATTTCTGCTAGTAAATTGGGTCTGAAAAAAAACGAAGTGTCATGGAAAAGATTTTGAAATCAATCGATTTAAATTTCTATTAGAAATCCATGAATTAAAATTTCGATTAAAAATCTATTACAATTTAAATATTTGTTACAAAGAGGTGAATACGATCTACGAAATTATCAATTTGCAGTGATAAAGTGCGAAAAGGTGAATACGATCTACAAAAGCATTAATTTCGAGTGCAAAACCTGTAGTTACTGTTTCTATAAAAACAAGCGGCATATCTCTAGATTGCTATTACTAAATTTTGCACAGATTTATAAGAAAAATGGGACCTGTAGCCCTGCCCTGTCTACGTTATGTCGTGCGACTTGAAAAATTGCGAATTGCATTATGCAAGATTCCCTAAGTGCTGAAAATCGCGTTACACAAGAGTTATCGCGGTAAGATCATAGCTGTCTCACGCATGCTCTATACTTTTCTGAACTAGCTCAGATCTGGTACAAGCCTTATTATTAGTTAACATATACTATATAAAGTTTCATTGGACCGGTGAAAAACCGGTGCGCTGTTCATCGAACTCGCGCGGAATAATATCACGGTTGTTAAAGCGTGGCATTTTGTAACTCGATTTTTACTCGGAACGCTACTATACATCGATCACGCTGCAGAATCGGCAAAAAAGGCTGAGTGGCCTGTAATCCGAGCGAACAAAAACCACGTTTGACACATGGAACAGCCTAATAAATAATTATTCGTCCCGTGCAAATTCTTTGAAAGGGAAAATGATAAGAGCGAAAAAAAGGCACGAGGAGAAAGAAAATGGGTACTTACCGCGAGGTAGATCATCGTGTAGGCAGAGAAGGACGAGTGTCCCGAGGGGAAGGATAATCTGAAAGAGATGGACATTATAAATCGTATCGTGTCGAATAAATCTCGTTCGGCGATCGTTACGCGCAACAAATTCTTGTTTTATTATTCAACGCGGCGCGCGGAGCTCGATCCTACGTATAGGGGGGATCTCAGGACAAAATTAATAACTCCTACACTAATTCATTTTCCATTTAACACTATTAATAATTTTTTAAAGAGCATACGAAGATCTATTCATTAATAACAGAAATATAACTGTATAAAAAGGAAAATTTAAATCATCTCAATCTTTTCATCATACTTTTCTTTATCAATTTTTTTAGTGTGATTTGTTGTCATATATTAAGTAATTATTAATATAATTAGTTACATATTAATAATTTCATCGCTAATGCGTAAAAAATCGAGGTGATCATATAATGAAAGAAATGATAGATTCTCTTTAAAGTACAATTTTTGTTAGAAGTGTTTACCAACACATTTTCGCGAAGATTATTAAATACAAAAGTTACTCGATTTCAAGATGGAGATGCAACTATTTTATTTATTTAATTTTGTTGATCTGTAGAGTTCAAAAACGAAGGAACGTTCGTCGTTACCAAGGTAAAATATTTTTATTTGTAAAATAATCCCTCTTTTATTTATAATAAAACAAAGGGGTTTCACGAGTAAACAAATTTTATTATTTATCAATGCAATATAAAATCTGATTAAAAAATGTTTCTAACAAAAGTTTATTTATTTTTTATTAAAAATACAGGTTTCCATTTAAAGAAAGAAAGCTACCCTCGAAACAGTCTTCAAAGCTATCAATAAAGAAGAAATAAATAAAATTCTTATATTTTGCCCTTGAAGTCGAGTAACTTTTGTATTCAACATCTTTCCCGGAAATGTGTTGTTTTCGAGATATTTAGATTGAAAGTTTTCGAACGAACACCCTGTAGATCGTTTTGCAAAAATGACAAGATTGGGAAAGAACACACCACTGTGCGATCTCAATCTTTTCATCATACTTTTCTTTATCAATTTTTTTAGTGTGATTTGTTGTCATATATTAAGTAATTATTAATATAGTTTCCGAGTATCCTTTGTTCGAATAATATTTTTGTCAGTTCATCGCTAATGCGTAAAAAATCGAGGTGATCATATAATGAAAGAAATGATAGATTCTCTTTAAAGTACAATTTTTGTTAGAAGTGTTTACCAACACATTTTCGCGAAGATTATTAAATGCAAAAGTTACTCGATTTCAAGATGGAGATACAACTATTTCATTTATTTAATTTTGTTGATCTGTAAAGCTGGCTTCACGTGTTCAAAAAACGAAGAAACATTCGAAACAATAAACTATCGTCGTTACCAAGGTAAAATATTTTTATTTATAAAATAACCTCTCTTTTATTTATAATAAAACAAAGGGGTTTCACGAGTAAACAAATTTTATTATTTATCAATGCAATATAAAATCTGATTAAAAAATGTTTCTAACAAAAGTTTATTTATTTTTTATTAAAAATACAGGTTTCCATTTAAAGAAAGAAAGCTACCCTCGAAACAGTCTTCAAAGCTATCAATAAAGAAGAAATAAATAAAATTCTTATATTTTGCCCTTGAAGTCGAGTAACTTTTGTATTCAACATCTTTCCCGGAAATGTGTTGTTTTCGAGATATTTAGATTGAAAGTTTTCGAACGAACACCCTATAGATTATTTTGCAAAAATGACAAGATTGGGAAAGAACACACCACTGTGCGACGACGCGCTGCGCTATGCGCAGCATGTGCTCTGGCAGATCGTCGCCCGAGCACACGCGTCCCGTAATGGGACCCTATTCATTTTGTCAGGATTAATTCCGGGGCGTGTTCCGCGCCGATTACAATCGGCAAGGCGGACGCGTACCTCAGAGCCGGGATCATAAAGATTCGCCGGAAGATCCTTCGATCATAGCACGACGAAGAAAAAGAACGGGGTAAGGAAGAACCGGCGGAAAAAAGAAGAGAGAAAGGGGCTCGCTCGGTGGACCGTGGACTTCTATATCTGTAAGAGTAATTGAGCATCAAAGAAGCTGCTTTAATCGGATATTATCTGCCCCCCTCGTGTTTCTCCTTTATTTTTTCTCTCGTTCCCTTTAAGCGCGCCTTCTTCGGGGAAGTGGCTGTCGGAACCTATTATTTCATCTTAATTGTGTTTACTTTGGCTAAAGGCTGCTAGCGCATCGCCGGACCGATGCTTGTTCTCTTGTTTTCTATGCAGATCGCGGACATGTTTATGTTTATGTTTATGTACACGATCGTGCAACGTTAAACATACTGCGGAACCCAATATTATGGATTTGTAAAGTCCCGTGTCTCTAATTTTGGACGAACGAGCGGCGAACGTGGTCGTACACGTTTAATTCCCATGTTTTTCGTGCGACGATGAATTAGGAATAATGAAAGTTACGAATAATCTAAAATCATTCGATCTCAGCTTTTATTAAATAAATATCACTGTTTTTAATGTTTTACTGTTATTTGTCGCTAAACTTGCGAATTCTATGCATTTGTCGTGAATATGAATGGACAAAATACAAAACAGAAGAATTTTAAGAATTTCAGGTGATTGTTGTATTCACCAACTTATTAAAATTATTATTATTATTATTATCATTATTATTAAAATTATTATTATTATTATCATTGTTAAAATTATTATTATTATTATTATTATTATTATTATTATTATTATTATTATTATTATTATTATTATCATTATTATTAAAATTATTATTATTATTATTATCATTATTATTAAAATTATTATTATTATTTTAAAATTATTTTTTCCAATCAATGCAAACAATTTTTATTTTGCATAAATTGTCCACAGTCTATGTACCGCATTAAACGATTACAGAATTTGAGAGAAATAATATGTTAATACAATTATGACGTAACAGGCTTGACTAACATGACATGGTTTCATCAAATATGGATAAATTGATTACGTCTTTATCAGAACGAACAGTGAATAACTTTAAAAAAAAAATTGCGTCAATTTAAAAAAAGCGTCAATGATTAGATCTATGATCCATCGACTTATTCGATTTTAATGTGAACGTGTTATTTAAAAGAAAGTTATCGAGCATGTCTTTGCGTCCACCGCATACTTAAATGTTTAAAAACTGTATAAACTTGTAGCTGTTACGAACAAAATTATTATGACATTTATCCTTGTCTTTTCTTCTATCTAAGATTCTACAATTACAATTATAATGAATTATAAAAAATTAAACAACATTAGAAAAGAATTTAAATAGTTCTTAAATTTCGTTCATAATCATTTCAATTATGTTAAGAACTTTTTTCTCAGCTTCATTCTAACTTAAAAAGGGGATATTTCTCAATTTTCATTTATTAATATCATATACTAATATTATACATTAATAATGGCATTACTTTATCAATCTGTTCTATTACAAATAAAACAATGTGCACATTTACATAAATATATTACATGAAAACAGGAATATTTTAGTTTCATTTTGTGATAACTCCTCGCTCAGATTTGCGCTGAATCAAATAGTCTGCATACGCACGTTTCTTCGAACGTAAATCGCAAGACGAAGGATTAATAAGATTCCGATAAATAAAGCATTGAATAATTCTTGCGTGGACTACATGTACTACTGTGATCAAAAAGTAAGGTGAAATTGTCATTTAAAACTCCCGTACATTAGGAAGGCAGGCAATTGTTTTTTTCCTAGGTTGGTAGGACTGTCTATAACAATTGCCAAGCGTCTGTTTGTTAAAAGGTTTAATTATCTCCGAGTTACGCGTGTTTTAGTAAACGACCAAAAGTGAATTTTTCGATTTTTACAATGGGTGATTTTGTTGAGCAAAGAACTTGCATCAAATTTTGTTTGCGGAACGAATATTCTTGTGCGGACACGTTGAAAATGTTACGGAAGGCCTTTGGTGATCAAACTATGGCACAAAAAAACATTTATAAGTGGTACAACGAGTTCAAAGCGGGCCGAGAACGCGTTGAAGACGAACCGCGCTCTGGACGACCATCAACGTCTACCGACGAGGGCCACGTCCAAAAAAATCGAAGATTTGGTGCTTGAAAATCGTCGACTGACAATGAGAGACCTCGCTGATAGTGTTGGAATATCATTTGGCTCAGTCCAAACCATTTTGAAGGATGTTTTGTGTCTCAAACGCGTCAAGTCTCGATTGGTGCCATGTCATAC